GCGGGCCTTGCCCTCTGCTGCATCACTACACATCACCCTCACTTACCACAGCCGCAGGTGGAGATGCCCATCATCCCTCCTTGGCTCAGCACCATGGCAACCACACCCAAAGCCACGGCAGAATCCCAAGCCACATCTGTCAGGTTCTAGGCTATGCATCCCAGAACACGATTAAAGACCGAGACAGAGAAGCCAGCTACAGCCACAGCTATTGTGCAGCAGACTCAAGGCCTGAGCTGGGTCCCCAGGAGTGTAAGAGAGAAATACATACAGACAGACGGATGGACAGACAGACAAAAGAAAGCAAGCAGGCTACTAAGGCAGGTGTGGACATACATCTGCAACCTCAGCACCTGGGAAGTGGAGACAGGAGGATCAGCCTGAGCTATATAGTTAAGACTGAGGACAGCCTGGGCTACTTAAGAGCATATTAAAAAAATTAAAAGAAAAAAAAATCCCTGAAGGAACAAAAAGTTAGAAAGGGAGAAAGCAAGGTGGCTGGTGGCACACCATGCCCCCTGTTTGTGTGACAGCCGCCACTACCACCTGTTCCAAAGGTCCTGCCACCCCCATGGCCTGCTGGGCTTTTCCAGGCATGTACAGCCACCATCCGGCCACACCATGCATTATGCATGCTGCTGCTGCCGCCCTAATGGCCCTGCTCAGTCCTCGGCCCACAGAAAACATAACCACCGATCCCTCAGCACCCGTCTCCACGATGCAAACAGCACGGGGCACGCGGCAGCACCTAGCGCTCTCTGGTGAGTTCTTGAATGCTGGGGCTTTGGGCCGCCCCAGATCTACTGGCTTGAGGGACCCTTGCGTGTTGAATGAGTTTTAGGCCCGAGGTTGAAACCCCCGGCAGGAGTAAAAAGCGTGAGGTCCAAACTGCTCCCTCGGGGGCTTTGCAGTCACTGGGATTGAAGAGTCTGGAGGGGAGACACAGACTCTAAGTAATTGTAATTAGTTAACTACAATTTTGGAAGGCATTAGCATTGAAAACAGGAAGGAATCAGAGTGGTTGGCTCTCTGCTGCCCCCTGGTGGAGATCTATGGCAGGCACAGCATGCGGCTCCTCCCTGCAGTTTCTCCCACATTAAAGAATTGACTCAACCTGGTCAGGATGCTGAGGACCAAGAGCCAGGGGCAGCAGCTGTGTCTACGGGACAGCGCTGCTCCAGTGAGGGCGCCAGATGAGAAAACAGTCGCCGTGAGGCATGCGTGACAGAAGCATGTGTTCATTCATTTACAGAGGGGCAGAGCCTCACGGCAGAATCCGGTCAGCCGTACTAAGGGGAAACCAAGGAGTTCACTGTAGCTAGGGTAAAATTCACCAGGACAAGACTAGGGTGAGAAGAGGAAGGAGAGGTGGGGAGGGACTCTATGGTACAGCCCTTGGGGGTCGATGGATGTATGTGACAGTCTTAGGGGTCAAGGGTCAGGGGTCAGCTCAGTTTGTGGGGTCCAGGAAGAAAATCCCTCTGGAGGGCCAGGCTTTGGGTCTGAGGATATAAATGGGGAGGGGCAGGGAGCTCTGGACAGAGGGGCAAGTGTGAGATGGGACACCCACACTTCCTTTGGGGTGCTGCAGAATTAGTGGGTCATCGAACTTTTGGGGTCCGCAGAGATGGCACGGCACAGACTGCTTGCCGTGCAGTCAGCGCTGGAGGTCAGATCCAAGCTCGCAGGTACAAACCAGGCGACCGGCACATGCCTACAACCCCAACTCTGAGGAGCGTGGAGACGGGATTGCTGGGTCTTGCAGCCTCCTAGTGGAGAGGCCTTGCCTCAGGGACGCACTGGCGTGCCCTTCTGAGCTCTGTGCTCCACACTGGTGGACACATCCACACACAGAGATGTGCATAGACCATACATTCACATACACATATACACAAATAAAGAAATCTAAAATATGCATGTTGGGACTGGAAAGGAACATGAGAACGTAGTCCATGCAGAAGCCAAATCCTTAGATGTCCTCGGTCCCTGGAAAATCAAGCCGTGGAGGGATTTTCAGGGGCAGGCAAAGGGAAGGGGGCACTCAAATGATTTATTCACCTCTAATTGTGTACCAGATATTAACCTTTACCCTGGGAGCACACAGCAAACAGAGGAAGGTGCAAGTCTATGGAAAAGGGGCACCCAAGGAAAGGCAAAAAATACGACGTGGAGACACAGCTACCTGTGGGTACCACAGAAGGGGAGCCGGTGGGCATTGCTCCCCAAGAGGTCTGAGTGGCACTGGCCTTGGTCCCACATGCCACAAGAGCTGGGCAGAGCAGCTCGTACCCAATGCTGTCCAGAACCCAGCTCAGTGGCCATCACAAGAAGCAGGACATAGTGTATGCTGTTGTCATGGAAACGTCAGAAGCACTTGAGGTAAGAGGTTTTTTTCTTTTTTTTAATTTATTTTGGAGACTAGAGAAGTGACTCAGAGGTTAAGAACACTGGCTGCTCTTGCAGAGGACCCAGGTTCAATCACCAGCACCCACATAGCAGCTCACAATTGTCTGTACCTCCAGTTCCAGGGGATCTGACACCCTCACATAGACATGCAGGCAGGCAAAACACCAATGTACATTAAATAAATGGTTTTTTAAAAAAAATATTAATTTTGTTGTTTGGTTGGTTTAGTTTTGATTTTGTTGTTGTTGTTGTTTTGTGCTTCCCCCCCCCCCCCAAGATAGAGTTTCTCTGTGTAGTTCTGGCTGTCCTGATTTGTAAACCAGGCTGGCCTTGAACTTACAAAGATCCACCTGCCCTTGCCTCCCAAGTGCTAGGATTAACCACTGCCTGGCTGGTTTTAAGATAGGGTCTCACTATGTAGCCCTGGCTACCCTGAACTTGCTATGCAGAGTAGGTGGACCTCAAACTCACAGAGATCCACCTGCCTCATTCTCTCAAATGCTGGGACTAAAGGTGTAAAATGTGTGCGTGTGTGTCTGTGTGTTTGTGTGTTTGTGTGTCTGTGTGCATGGGCACCCATGCACCATGTCTGTCTTTTTGTGTATATATATTTGTGTGTGTGTACGTGCATGCATGCTCATGTGTGAATACATGCTACATAGCTGAAGGAACCTGCAGAGACAGAAGAAGACATCAGATCCTCTGGAGCTGGTGTTACAGTCACTTGTGAGCCACCATGTGGGAGCTCACCCTCAAACCCGGATCCTCTGAAAGAGCGTAAGTCCTCTTGACCCCTCAGCTCTCCCTCAAAGCATAGATGTTACCAGGACACAGCTCACAACCCTAAGTGACAAGTGTGAGCGGCAGGTCACAGCCAGCATTTAACATAGGGTAAGGGATACAGTCAGGATGCGACTCCGTGGTAGAGCGCTTGCCTGCAGGGCCAAGGCTCTGGGTCCAGTCGCCAGCACCACACACATGATGCAAGGGGAACAAATCTGACATGACTGTCTCCCCGTGTGCCTGCCAGGCTGGGTCCCATGTCAGGAAACACGCCTCGGCTGAGTGCAGAATGTGTTCTACACGTATGGAGGGCTGTTAGAACACAGCCACGGATGAGCAGGAAACACGTTTGCTGGGCACGAAGGTATTCCTGGGTTCACATGGTGATTTGGCGCAATTTGGGGAGAGGATACACGTATACATGTTTGCACATGCGTGTGGAGACCAGTGTTGACCACAGCTTTCCTGTGGCGCCGTCTACCTCAGGTCTTTTGTTTTGTTATTATTTGAGACTACATCTCTCACTCAGCTGGAACTGGCTGCGTGGGCCGGGCTGGCTGACCAGTGTGCCTCACTAGAACGACAAGCCTACACCACCACAACTAGCTTTTTCTTAACACGGGTTGCTGAGATGAACTGGAAACCGGTTCTGTCTGGTTCACTGCCGGGTCCCCCACCCTGCTGGCCTAGTAACAGTCACTCTGTAAATCGTAATTGCTGGTTTGTGTGTTTTCTAACCACAGTAAGAAATAACAGTCGCCAGATTGTGCCAGACATGCGGTCGACGGCGCCATCTTGTGGTGAGAACTGGAACGGCAGTGCTCGTCTTTGCAACAGTTGGCTGAGAGCCCAGGGGTGTAGGGAAGCTTCAGCGGCCTATGGTTAATACTCCACTAATAAACTCAGTGGCTTTCGTCCTTTTTCTTTTGAGACAGAGTCTCCGTATCCCACACTTGCTTCAAACTCTCTCTGTAACCAAGGATGATCTTGAACTCCCGGTCCTCTGGCTTCTGCCTCCCAAATGCCTGGGTTATAATCCTATGCCACCACACTCCATTAATGAGGTGCTGGGGATCAAACCCAGAGCCTTGTGTGTGCCCCATAAATACTCCACCAACTAACTGAACTATACCCCCAGCCCCGCATCACAATTTTGAGCGACTAATTGGAATGACCCGGGAAAAGCGATGACAAATTTAGATTGCAAATTATTAATAAAACAAAGCCACAGAATTTTTCTTAGGAGAAAAAGAATTTTAAAATAATATGTCTAAATAATCTTACTAGTGCTATGGGAAAAAATGAGAGAGAGAGAGAGAGAAGGGAGGGAGGGAGGGAGGAAGGAAAGAAGGAGGGAAGGAAGGAAGGAAGGAAGGGGAGAATGGGAGAATATAATGGTAGGAATTCTAGAGAAATGAAGAATTTCTCTAGAAAATACAGTAAAATGAACACAGCAGGTCCCTGGGGGTCAGGGCCTGGGCAGTTACAACCTGCTTTCTCTCACGAAGAATGCAGTGTTTTTGCACAGAAATGAGCAAAGCTACTACTTAGAACACAAAGCCACTGCCCAGTGTCTGAGGTTCGGAAGAGACCCTGAGCCCCCAGGGTTTCCACATCAGGACCCTAATAACCCAGGACCCATAGTGAGCCATCCTCTGCAGGGTGGCATTCAAATCCCGCCTGCTTCCAAGTCTCTACTCGAGCTGGCTTTTCAGGGTCCACTCTCTTATGTGCCGACCTGCACAGGAAGCTTGAAGGACCGTGCTGACCAGCTGGGGGTAGTCCTCACCTCCTGGGCTGCTCATGCTCACCTGATGTGTGCACATTCCTGAGACAGGACAGGGAGGCGTTGAGTCGGGCACACTCCTCCTGGTTGGCTCCGTACTTCTCCACCGTCTCACACACCTGCTCATCTGTCATTTCTAGAAGGTCCTCCAGGCTCAGCTGGTCAGGGGAGATCTCCTAGAGGAGGGGACAAAAGCAGTCAGCTGGACCAGGAACCCAAGTGCCTGGCCAGACAGAATGGCATTGTGTATCTCCATACCGCCCTCTTGTGGCACTCGGGAGAACTGCAGAGGGAAACAGCATAGCACCTCTCACACTGCCCTCTGCAGGTGCCCAATAAGAGGAACTGTATTACGTAAACACTTTGTTGAATTTGGGGTTTAATCTCCCATGCACTTAGATGGGTAACTTAACTTCTCTAGGCCTTGCTCGTCTCTTATAAAATGGAGGTGCTGAGTGCAGGTGCACACTCAGTACATGAGCAACAGCCCACACCTGCAGCCCAGCCCCTTCCAGCCTTCTGTGAGTAGATGGCTGCTCTGCTCATCCAGGGTGGGCTCAGAACAGGCCAGTTAAACACAAATCCTCCTCTACTCTCAGCTTCCTTTCTGATGTACCCCACAGGAGGACTGAAGAGTCATATGGGGGCTTTAAGAGCCTAAGAGGAGGGCAGCCCAAGTCCCATGGGCAGCTTGAGGTTGGAAATGAATCTTGACAATTACTGAGCACCATGAGGCTACGCGGAAAGACTGAGGGATGGTAGGAACCAGGGGAAAGGAGCTGTGTGAACAAAGAAACTGAGAACGGGAGAAGCAGGATTTCCAGCTCACAAGGTGTGGGTCAGGGGGCCCCTTCCCTGCAAACAGCCCCCTCCCTAAACCACATCCTACATAAGTCTGCAACATTACCAGCGAACTCAAGTTTTGTGCATTCAGAGTACCCAATAGTAGTGAAAGGTTTTACATGAGCATAGTGTGTTATTATTTCGATAAGACTTATAAATCTGTGGGTAGTGATTCATGGGTGATAGAGTGGGCTCCTTCTGTCCTCTTCTGGTCATGACTATTACTGCAACAACATGCAGAGTCAGATAAAACAGAATCTATAAATTCCATTTTTCACCAAAAGAAAGAAAAGAAAAAAAAAAGCTACAGGGCCCAGACAGTGACTGTGAAGTCGGGGCAGGGATGGGACAAAAACTGAGTCACCTAGGCAGGAACACGGAGCAGGTAAACCTCCTTCGGCGGGACGAGGCAGGGTTGGGGCTGCAGGCTGAACATTCAGAGAACAAGGCTATACTAGGTTGACCCCAGCTGCTCTGATAAAACACTCTGACCAATAGCAACTTGGGAGGAAAGATTTTCTTGGCTTACACTTCCGGGCTATAGTTCATCACTGAAGACAATCAGGGCACAATCACAACAGGAACCTGGTGCAGTCTTGGAGGAGCACCGTGTGGCCTCTTCCTTACACTGCCCAGGCTGGTCTGCCTAGCGATGGCACCGCCCACAGTGGGCTGGGCCCTCCTGCATCAGTTAGCAATCAGACATCTCTCCCAGATGGGGTCACAGGTCGTCCTAATAAGATGATTATTCAGTGCTGACTCTTTTCAGGTGGTTTTGGGTTGTGTGGCGTTGACAGTCGGTGATAACAAACACAGATGCACACGCTAAAGCCCTCTCCTTGCTGTGGGAGCCGACTGTACATTTTAACCCTATGATTTAGAAGGGGTGTGTGCATGCATGTGTACATGTACGTGTGTGTGTGTGTGCACGTGTGGACGTGTGTGTGTGTGTGTGTTACCCTGATGCTTAAGCTCATAAGGGAGCACACACACATCTATTCATGACAAGAAAGATAAAGAAGGCCGGAGCAGCCTGGGCCAGAGAGAAAAAGCTTGTGTATGTTCTGGTGACATAATCCCAGGTGGGGTTGTATTTACAGCACTCAACATGGATTTCCTGCAATGCCACAAAGATCATGTGAAAGGCAAGGTGTGTGTACATGTATGTGTGTGGTGTGTGTGCACACGTATGCTCAGGGTGTGTGTATATTGTATGTGTGTATGTGAGTATATGTGTGCACATAGATGTAGATGTATGTGCATGTGTATGTGTGTGCCTCTGAGTGTGAATGGAGGTCCAGAGGTGTGTGTGAATAAGTGTGGATGTGTATTGTGAATGTGTGTGCGTGATATGTGTGTGCATAAATGTGTGCACACTGATGTATATGCGATATGTGTGTGAGTGTATATGTACATCTGTGCATGTATATGTGTCTGTGTGCATGTTTGTTTTACCGGGGAAGCTGGACTTCAATTTTCACACATGCCAGGCACGGTCTCTACCATTGCACTGTATCAGCAAACGTGATTTGTTACCGCCACATGCAGACCCCGATGCTAAAGCACAGATAAGTTAAAGCTTTAGCCCAAGTCACACAGCAAGAGCGTGGTGGAGGCAACATTTGAACCCAGGGCATGTCTCATAGCTGGCTCCATATATCCCTTTTACTTCTGTGAGAGCAGCCCCTGGTGGACAAGCCTGTGAACTGCAGGCAGGGAACCTACACTCACCCCACCACCTGGGTGAAGGCCTCAGCATGCCTCGCTAGGGGACTAAGAGCCCCAAAGAGGTGATCTGGGGGAGCCTCGGGGACCAAAGGGGCTGCCAACTGTGGTTCATCACATCAGAAAAGGATTACCCTCTGTATAATTTGTGCTCATGGCTTTGAAGCAAGAGATCTCTAGTCTTTGGAAAACAGGTTTTAAGTTTTTGGGTCAAAATAAAATCACATCTTGTCAGTCAAACTAAAGCTGGCTGCCCATCAGACATGGTTTGAAAACCACTGCTTTTCAGTCCTTATCTAGAGGACTGGCTTCTGCTTTACCTGCCCCATGAGGGGCGCTAGGTACACAAATATTTACATAGTCCCAGACCCTTTAAGAAGTACCGCAAGCTGAGCAATTAAACTATCATTTATACCATCGGACTAGTTTAAATTGTCAAGCGGACACAATCTAGGGTCACGAGGAAGAGAGTCTCAAGGAGGGAGTTTCTACACCGAGTTGGCCTGTGGACAGGGCTACACTGGACTGTCCCGGTTATGTTAGTTAAGGCGAGAAGGCCCATCCACTACGGGCGGCACCTCTCCCTCGGCGTCAGGTTGCAGACTATGGAAAAGGAGGGAGCAGGCTAAACACTAGCCAGCGTGCGTCCATTCTCTCTCTGCTCCTGACAACGGGCATGACTGATCGCCTCAACTCCTGACGCCCTGCAGTGATGGGCTGTGGCCTGGGATTGTGAGCCAGTCAGTCCTCCCCTCAAAAAAAGAAAAGTTGCTTTCTTCACAATAATTGGAAAGAAAACTAAAATGTGGCCTTTCATTCATCCTAAGAATATTCTAAGAAACACACTGCCCCAGGCATTCCGGGCATCCTGGGAGCAAAACTAGGGGTGCAGCAATCCATGCCATGCTGGGGTGTGTGTGTGTGTGTGTGTGTGTGTCCCAGAGATCCACCTGTTTCTGCCTCCGCAGCACTGGCATTACCAGTGCATGTCTTCACACGCAGCTTTTTCACGTGGGTTCTGAGGATTCAACTCAGGCTCCGTGTTTGCACTGCAGGCACTTCACCCACTGAGCGACCCTCCTGCCTCATGACCCACGTGGAAAGGCTGATGTCCTGAATCTTTGTGATCCAATATGGCAGCAATGGCCGGTCATTTACATCAAATACGATTCAAACTCCGGATCCTTGGTCCCCCACGCTAATCGCGATCCTAGCGCTCCAGGAGCCGTAGTTACCGTAACTGCTCTATCAGACAACACAAACAAAATATCCCCGCCACAGCAAAAAGTCAGTGGGCAGCACTGGTCAACATGGTGGCTTGGGGTGACTCCAATTTGTGGCAGATCTGAATAAAATCCTGACTCTATCTAGGCCACCCCCTCACCCCCCAACTACAAACGCTGGCTTTAGAGCCTTGCCCTCAACAGCCCCTCTCAGAGACTTCTGAGATCCTGCCAGCCTTCGTCTGGCATACTGAGGGCCTGCTATGTGTCTGGGTCTGTGCTGGGCACATCCCACGCCCTGCCATCTAAGAAGTAGCAAAGGCGGTCTCCAGCCAGTGAGGGCCAAGGGGTTCAGGATGGCCTGTGGTCACCTCCAGGACTTCCTTGCGCACGTCCACGATCCGGAACCAGTGGCGGAGCTGGGGGAAGCCGTCCAGTTCGGCATTGCGTTCCTGCAGGGCCACCTTCTTCTTGCAGGACAGCTGCCGGCTGAAGTACTTGACCAGCTTGCTCTGCAGAGACATAGAGACAAGAACACGGCTCAGCGACTCGGCCACAGGGAGCAGGCGTGAGAAGCCGGGCTATCATGCGTGCTAACCCCAGCCAACCCTGTGTTGCAAAGACTGTTTCTGTTGCAGTAAGACCCAGCCTTGCACCTCAGTCTGCAGTGGAATGAGACTGAGAGGTGGGAGGTGACACCCAGAGGGAGGTGACTGAGACATGGAGGCACCACTCCTAGATGGGTTTACCGTAGTTCTCTTGGAAGCACTTGGTTAAGGGGCTAGACCCCTTGTGCTTGGCCCCTCCGCAAGCAGCCAGCTCTCCTCCCTCCCCCACTATGTTACAGAGCAACAGCTGGACCTTCTAGCTGCCGGAATCATAAGCCAAATACACTTATTTTCTTTAGGAAGTACCCAGCTACTGACGTCATACAACACAGAGTGAACTAGCAAGCCTCCAGCATTCTCACCGTGTTGGTGAAGATGGGAGAACAGGTAGGCCTTGGCATTTTGCTGTGGTGGGGGTGGGATGTTAGTTACCTCTTCTTTGTGGTGGTCTCCACCGACATTGTAATCACATAGACCCTTGACCCAACAATTCCATGTCTAGAAATTCTTTTTGATTGTTTGTTTGTTTGTTTTTTTGTTTTTCGAGACAGGGTTTCTCTGTGTAATAGCCCTAGCTGTCCTGGAACTAGCTCTTGTACATCAGGCTGGCCTCAAACTCACAGAGATCCGCCTTCCTCTGCCTCCTGAGTGCTGGGATTAAAGGCCTGTGCCACCACCACCGCCCAGCCTAGGAACTCATTCTATGGCAACCATCTTGGGAAAGTAACTGTGTCCAAGGATTTTTTTTTAAACACTTCTGCTTGCAAGAGCAAAGGATTGTCAATACCCTGAAAATCCACCTATCAGAAACTTACGATTTACGCCATGCAGCAGCCACAGAAGGAACTCCACACCCCAGCTCCTTAAGCTGTGAGTCCATATGTAACTGAATGCAGAGTCGGGGAAGTTTAGGGGACAGCAAAGATCTCTGGATGTGCAATAACCAAAAACTAACTCCAGATCAAACACACAAGATTCTGAGGTGCTCTGGCAATGCTCGCGCTTGCCACCTCTGGTGACTTCACTGCTGGTTCTGAACACACAAATGCACTGTCCTCCGAGTGCTGTCACACCACCCAACAGCAGTGAACCTGCAGCAGCACCTCGGCTCCCACCGAGACTACTGTGGGTCGGGACGGCAGCATTTCCCTCTCATTCCTCTCAATGTGTGAGTGTCATACTGTTGTAGGTGTGGCCCACGTTGTGTTAGAAGGCTAGGTAAAAACAAAAATTTAAAAAAAAAAAGGTTGACTTGGGTTTTATTATTTATTTATTTTTTTAAAGATGTATTTATTTATTATGTATACAACATTCTGCCTCCATGTATGCATGCAGGCCAGAAGAGGGCGCTAGATCTCATTACAGATGGCTGTGAGCCACCATGTGGTTGCTGGGAATTGAACTCAGGACCTCCAGAAGAGCAGTCAGTGCTCTTAACCTCTGAGTCATCTCTCCAGCCCCTGGGTTTTACTTTTTAAAATCATGAAATAAATTCTGTTTTAGGACTAGGACAAGATTTCCAATGATTTCTGAGGTGTGGCTCAACCCATTTCCACCATGCTGTCCTCTGTTCTTATGAAAAGCAGAGCCCTCAGCACTGACGATTCTAAGATCAAACTCTCAATGGGCTTTAAGAAACGGTCAGACGTCCTGCACACTGCAGCGTCAAACACTGTCAAGTTTTAGTTATTTACATAAAAACAAATAAGCACACCCATCTCATTCGTACAATTGCTTGCTTTCCTATTTAACACATGGTGACATCATCTCTCTATATATAAGTAATGACTCTGAAATAAACTTCATTATGGCTTATCATCAGTAATATTAGAGTAGTTACACCTGCATAGCCCCCGTTGCATAACCATCTCTCTGGTGAGAAGAGGCTGTAGGCGGAGAAGGCCCCAGAAGCCCTGTTCACACTCCCACCAAGTAACATCCAGAAGCCCTGTTCACACCACTGCCAGATAAAATTACAAGCTGTGCTATGCTGAGCAGACCGTGGCTTTGGAGATGTCCTGACAAACAGAACCTCTCACTCCCCGGCCAAATGTGTCCATGTATTTCTTTGTAAACACACAGCCTCCTTCTGGAAGGATCCTTGACCCTCTGGGGATGAGGAGAATGGAGGTAGGAAAAAGAGTGGGGAGAAAGGACATTTACATTCTGTTGTTGGATCGGCAAGTCATACACAAGTCTCCGTGAGCTTTCCAGCGCTTTTTAAAGGAGACCTGGCCCACGTTCCTGGACAGACGCCAGGACATGCGAAAGGAACAGTGCTTTGTTTTGTTCGTGGCTAGTTCTGTACAAATGAACGACACTAACCAAAGAAAGGCAATACAGGGGACTAGAACAATGGCTTAGCGCTTAAAAGGGGGTACTGCTCTCTCAGAGAACCTGGGTTTGGTGTCCAGCACCCACATGGCAGCTCACCACCATCTGCAACTCCAGTTCCAGGAGATTTGACATGCTTTTCTGGTGCACATGCATACACACAGGCAAACACTCATAAACAAAAGTAAAGCATCATCTAGAAGGAAAGAGAGAGAAGTGTTTCGCTGGAACAGCTCGTCCCTTGAAAGCCCCATTCCTGCCTTTCCAAACCCCACCCTCTCAGAAAAAAATACCAAAAAGTCAACTTCCACACCCCTGACTGAAGCTGCCAGCTGCCCAATCCCCTCCGAAAGCATCATGATTAGACACAAACCCTGCTCGTGGCAGAGGTGGCATCACCCTGTGCCTACCAGGTGTTAAAGCTCCTTTAGTTCCATCATGTGATTTTTTTTTTTCCTGCGCCTTCTCCCTCCTCAATCTCTGGAGGCTACAGGATCACCCAGGAGTTGCTTTGCTCAGACTAAACCTGGTCTTTTACTTTTTAATTCAACTTGATCTGGCTTACTGTATCAGTGGAGAAACCTCTTATCGGGGTACAGAAAACCTATTAGGAAGTAGGGAGCGGGAGAGAAAAGAAGGAAAGTGGGGTGCAACCCCAGAATGCCAAGCAGAGGAAGTGTATGAGAGAACGAGACTGAGTTTCTCAGGAGGGTACCCAACAGCACCAACAACAAGACGTAGGTCTGTTTCTTCAAACACAGGGTTTGCATCTTTTCAATAATTAAACAAAGCTCTATAAGAGATGTTTTAAAAATGAGGGCCAGCAAGGTGGCCCAGCACACAATGGTGCTGGCCACCAAGCTGATGACCTGAACTCAACCCCCAGTGGACTCATACAGTGGGAGGAGAGAACTGATTCCCTTGGGTTGCTCTCTGACCTCCACATGTTACATGCCATGAATGCACACACGCATGTGTGCACACACAAAAACCCAAACACACAAAATAAATAAAATGAATAGGGTTTGGACTTGCATACATGACCTAGGGAAAATCACAATTCAAACTCAGTCTTAGTTGAGGTTTCTAATGCTGTGAAGAGACACCATGACTACAACAACTCTTACAAAAAAAAATTTAATTGGGTGGCTAGCAGTTCAGAGACTTAATCCATTATCATATGATGGGACATGGTGGCATGCAGGAAGGCAAGGTGCTGGAGAGGTAGCTGAGAGTCCTACATCCTGCAGAGGCGACAGGAAGTGGACTGAGACACTGAGTGTGGCTTGAGCGTATATGAAACCATAAAGCCCGCCTCCACAGTGACACACTTCCTACCACACCCTAGGAGCTTATGGGGGAGGCCAATTATATTCAAATCACCACAAACCCCAACAGTGGCGGCTGGAGTCACCGAGTCAGTCAGACTGACTGAGCGACCGCCATCATTTGGAGACACCAGCTAGGTTTCCCAATCTTGCTAAGCTTTCCCGGAGTGGTGCAGGGCCAGGGTTGGTGAGGAGCCAAGTAGTTTCAAGAGGAACCACCACATGGGTAAAATTCTCACCACGTTTTATTGCATGACCACAAGCGTTTGCACCTTAAAGGTGCTGTGTGCAAGGCAGGGCGGGGCAGGGTGTGGCTCTGAGCAATAGGCGCTTGCTCTTGCCTTTAATCTCTGACTTGTAGGTGTGCTCTCAAATTCTAGACTTAAAGCAGAAGAGAGAGGCATCACTGCAGCCAGTGTAAGCAATCAATCCACGTCAAATATCCAGAGGGAAGGTGACGAAGACGTTGGTGTGGCTCACTCAACTCGGGAACAGATTTGTGTTTTGTTTTGCTTCATAGAAATGGATTTGGTTGAAATTTAAAAACCAAAACAATATAAAACATTTTCTGTGGACACAATTGTATTGGTCGAGGAGAAATCCACTAAACTGAACCCGAGGGTAGGGGTGGACTCCTCTCATTCCTTCCACTCGGGAGGCTGAGGCAGGAGGATTGTTAGACGCCAGGCATTTGAGACCAGCCTGGGATCTACAGTGAGACCCCCTGTTTCCAAGAAACAAAAGCACGGATGGGTCAGAGGGTGCTGGTGATGCTGCCCAGCATGTGGAAGACAGGTCTTCAGGCTGCCTGCTGGCACTGTAAAAACCAATCAGTCCATCGATCAGCTAAACTAGGGAAAGCTAGGTTGCCGTGTTCTGTGAGTCTAAAATGCATCGCTAATACTTAAGGGGGAACTGAAGTGAGTCTCTAATATATTAAACTGAGCACATGGTGGGGTGTGGGGGATTGGGGAGGAGGTTATTAAGACATGGTGGGGTGTGGGGGATTGGGGAGGACGGTTGGGAGGAGGTAATTGAGACAGGGTCTCTCTACATAACCCTAGCCCTCCCTACCTGTCCTAGAACTTACTATGTAGACCAGGCTAGCCTCAAACTCACAGAGCTCTGTCTACCTCTGCCTTCCAGGTGCTGGGATCAAAAGCAGAGACCACCACTGTCCAGCAGAGTGTGTTTTAGATATTGTGCATTTAACATAACATTCACATAATTCTGTGATTTTTT